AATATTACAAAAATATTTGACAACCGATTGGCGCGAAAATGAGCTTATATTTGAATATTAATATTCATAGAAAAAATACTAATTCCAAATTCAAACGTAATATATTGTTTATTTTTAAAGTTTAACGGTACTTATATGGCCAGACTATGTATATAGAAAACATCCAGACTGGTCATATACTTATGTATACTTCTGTAACTTGCTACGATCGGAGGTAAAGCGCTGCACTAAAACTCTAGACAACACAGGCTGTTAAATGAAATGGCAAATTAGCTATTAGGCAGCCGTTGAATATCGGCAACCGTCACCTATATACATGAACATACTACAGATACAACGTTATAATGTGACGCCCGCAATATCACTCATGCGTTGCCATTCTAGCGATGATGATGATGTCATGTATAGGAGCTGGTTATCGTGTTTTTTTTTATATATTATTTATTCGCAGTTCTTTTTTATATATTTGGATTTATACATTTTTAGTTACGAATAGTTTTATTTATATTACGATATAATATACATGTGTATATATATCCTATACTGAAACTTCTATGACGGTTACCATTTGTCATCAGGTGGGCAAACTTGTACGCCATCCAATTACATAAAAACAAAGTATAAGGCGAGGCTTGAACAGACAGTACAGTTTAATCCGATTCGCTTGAATATTACCATAATATATATACTGTATAGGCGGTATGAAGATAAGGAGTATAAGATAATAAGAATAAAAATTGGGTATGTGCGACGATGCTAATAAAATTTTATCCGGGCTGTATTTTTTCTTTATTTTTAACATCCCCAACAAATGTGATCGTTTGGAGAGTTTCAACTGAATTTAAAAAAAGAGAATGTTCTCGATTGTATATTATTGTATGGATATGTATATATGACACGTGATATTTTCCTTAAATCAGTTATATTTTCTCGTTACACATGATTAGTAGAAATAAAAATAAACTTAATAAGCATTTTTGAATCACATATCGGTATCCCAACTGATACCTGACACACGGTTAGACGTCTCGGGGGCGCAGATCCGGACACTTGATCCTCTAATTCTCACTCATTCGGAAAGCAGACTCCTCACAAGAAGGAACGAGTAAACCGAATGGAAACTTGCATGTTGCTCTTTTAAATAAATGTTGTTCTAAGTATAAACGTTATCAAGGATTAGGCATGCGATAATCAACATAGAAACCGTGAAGCACTCAATCTTTATAGTAGTATTGAGCATACCAAACCGAAAGCCTTGTATCTACAATATCTATATATGAAACTTTCACCACCGTTTTCACCAAGACACAAGTTTAATAAAGGAATATAAATGTTATACTCTTCATACGTCACATCAGTTGAAATATATATATATGTAACATCATGACTAGAAGAGTTTAAGTTCCCTTTGGTTTTCATAAATAAATTATAATTAACGGTTTACTTTGTAAAACAAAGCCTAAAAATGATTATTTCTAAGAATACAACAAACGGATCTACTATCAAGGAGGACAAGGAAAAAGATACAAATCTATAATAATACTATTAATATTATAAATGTAAATAAATATGTTTTTTACTCAATCTAAAGCGATTAGATTTTATTATATTGGATTAGAAAGAAAATACTTCTTTTTATCATTTTCCGATCGCGACAATATATTATATTTGACGGCTGGTGAGCATGAGGAATCACCCGCCGGCGCTAACGGTTTCCACCGGCGGGGCACCAGTGAAGGATGATAAGATGAGCATGAGGTCAGGTTAGTTAGCCCATCGTGACAAATTCACCAGGAATTTAACATGATGGTTTCCAGGGGGAACCGCGTGGAGGTCGACCCGACAAGGTACATTGCTAGCAATGGGGTTATCAATCCACATTACTAACAATAGCCTTCCCCCCCCCCCCCTCCTTTGGGTGTTATATTGTGTATGTATTTACAAAAAACTATGTATTTATACCAGTAGTCTAGTACCGCCAACAGAAGCTCTATTTAGCTTGGGACTAGATGTCGCTGTGTGAATTGTCCTGAGATATTGTATTATCTTCTCTGCATAGTCCTTTCAGCGACTTTTGATATAACAGGTATCTATGTGATTGGACGAATATTATTATATACTTCCCTATTTCCCTTTTTACAGAGTGGTTTAATTATGCTCTATAATAATTATGATATTTTCCTTCTACAAATATTAAGTTATTATTTTTATAGATATTCTAAAATATATAGTAATTTTGCAAAATCGTTTTCAAAGTTCTTGTTGCGGTTTCGTGGCGACTCTAAATATTGTCGAGTTCATACAACGCTGCGTTTGATAGTGTAATTGCTCATTTAGTTTAGTTTCATTCCTGAAAAGCTAGCATGATTTATAACCTCGTATATATTATAAAACAGAGTGAGGGGACTTTGAGTGAAGTATGTCTGTATCTTCACAATAATCTCAAAAACAACTGAAAGGATTTTCAAAATCATATTCATTAAATGTTATTCATTCTGTTGATGTATGACAAACCGATGCGGTTTTATATATATACTACATATATTATATATTAATGAATTATGGTACAAAACTCGGACTTAAAGTTAAAGGCATTCTCCACCAGTCAACCTTCGGAATGTTCAGTTATACCACAGATAACATATGGTTACTAAATTTATATGTTTAATGTTTGACGGCCTCGGTGGTCTAGTGGTTTAGCATACCGCCTAACTTCCGATGGTCGTGGGTCCGATTCCTTGCACGGTACAAACATTTGTATTCATAGGTGTGTTTCTATCGATTTATTTGTTTTCTACGTATAATATGTATGTATTTACAAAAAAAAACTAAGTATTTATATCAGTTGCCTAGTTATGGGTTAACACAAGCTCTGCTTACCGTGGGACTAGATGGCGCTGTGTAAATTGTCCTGAGATATATTATTATTATTATTTTTTTTTCCAAATATTCTCATCTCCCCTCTTAAGGAGAGGAGATGGCAACATACCCCCGGCAGAAGCACAGTCGGCCGGGGTTCAGGGCCCCAGGGAGAGAAACCGGCGTACTTTGCGGGCAGAATCTAAGAGCACCGCTTTCTGCATCTTTCCCGGGAGTGAGCCGCCTCGGAATCCCAACCGTCTGAGATGTTGCTCCAGACTGGTTGGGATAAGACCGTTCACCGATATAACGATTGGAATGATTTCGGTGGACATCACCCCCCACATTTCGGTCACCTCGTGAGCCAGGTCGAGATATTTTCTCTTTTTTTCAGTTTCGGCTTTCACGAGGTTCTCGTCATGCGGTATGGTGATGTCCACCAAAAACACCCTCGAGAGTGCCCGATCCATCACCACGATATCAGGTTTGTTCGCAAGAACGGTCCTGTCCGTGATGATGGATCGGTCCCAGTAGAGCCTGACGATTATTATTATTATTATTATTACGTTAAGCTACCATTTTGGTTTTCATACATGATTTAAGAGGAAGCTTGAGACGTATAATTATATATACATACAATATATACATATAATTCTTTAAGGTTTTGGGTAAATTATTTTGTATACCCCTGGGTCTGGTATAATAATAAAAATAAGTATGTATATCGGAATAAAATATGTAGAAACATATAAGGATATGTTCCTATATATTTTCTTTGCTCTATAGAGCAAAGAAAATATATAGGAACATCCATTGATTTATCTATATACCAAGATATATCTTGGTATATAGACAAATTAATGGAGCCTAATTAGTTTGGTTGATTACAACTAATTCGCCAAAGTTACTGCGGCGAGGTGTTCGTGAATACTACTTTCATCCCTTGTGAATATGATGCGAAACTTCATCATTATTTTCATACTAATTACCGATAAATTACTTCGGAACTTCGACGGAGGGCAGTAAAAATTCTATTAACATTTTTTTTTATCATATATATATTTCACAGGCCACAGCCATCTAACTAGGCTAAGCAGAGCTTATCCAACGAGCATTACATAACTGATACATATAGGTATATAGTAATGGAAATAAAAAAAATATCTCTTAAAAACCAATAAATCAAGATAATAAACAACAATTGCAAAATATACTGTCCAGCAATGGATAGCGCTGGGCTGATGATGATGATGATGATGACTAAATGTACCTAGTTGTTTAATAAGATCCTGTAGTAATTTATTAAACAAAATGTGGAATACAAAACTTAATATTATACGCTTAATACTAAACTGCATTTATACAAAAATGACGACTTTGGGAAAATTAACTCTAATAATAACAAATGTAATGTTGATATTCCAAAATATGCAAATTTTGAGTTTATGCAGTTTCGTATTAAGTGTGCATACAATAATATAATAACTATACATCTATACTTATACATGCATACAATTTACAATTAATAATATTATGCGTTGTTCCGTGAACTCGTGTACATAATGCATTTATATTATAATTATGCATAAAAAAAATGTTTGAAAAGGACCGAGGTCATGGACAGTCAAGGATAATACTGTGAAAACTTCTGAGCTAAGATTAGTAGATATTCATATTGCCTGACTGAAGTAATTCCAAAGTCGAATGAAGAAACTCACATAATTTCTGTACAACATAAATAAAATAGGTTCTCACACACGCTATCAAACATTTAAGCTAAGGAACTACGAAAAGAAAAGATGTCACTACACTGTGCGGAAAATTGTATCTGCAAAATTCGACTCTATCGTCAATTCGTAGAGTTCAAACGTTCACTGGATACAGATAAATGGCTCTGTTAATGAAATATGAATCCAATGCCCCTAGGCCTAAAGTCCAATTTGGTTGGTGTTTCGAATTCCGCAGTAGTGCGCATCTGGGGAGTGCAAGCAATTAGATATTTTTTCATTGCAGATATTTTGTTACACTCAAATTATGTACTTACCGTCCGTTGTCGACGTTATATTCATCTTGATGGGCAAAAGAACTTTTTGAAATTAGAATACACTTAAATAACTTCACTAAAATTAATTATTCCACAGTTCGAAATTTGAATTCAAACAGAAGTGTAGTTCAAAGGCGAAGTTACAAAGTTTATGTGTATGATCCAAACAAGTTTATGGGTGGGAACACAGATGATTATTCAGTTGTTTTCCGGGCGGATGACTCGCGGCCGTGTACGGCCGTATGCAGAAATTCTACGCCCAGTAACCAAATATTTACACTAGCTCACATTCAGAATTCACAGTTACACGGTACACTATTACCACAATAGGAACTAGAGACTGTTTAATTTTGAATGCACGCGGTCAAACGTCAACTATTGGCGCGAACACTTGACAGATGGCTGATTGATTCCAGACGTATGGAAATACAACACTGATTATGCTTTCAGAATGTTCACTGAGGTAGGAAGGGATCAGATTCTCAACAATTAGCGAGAATGATGCTACTTTGCTAGCAATCCGAAGCTTTTTGATAGTGTAACGACAAAACAAATAGTCCGGAATGAGTGAGACTTGGGCATGCGCGATAGGCACTGCCGTATGCGTACATTGTTAAGACGCGGTTACTGAACTCGCAAAATTGCAATTTATTATATATAATAATTATAATACAATATAAAAAAAAATATTTATTTATATTAAAATTAGAGAGCAAGGCAATATTTGTAATTAGATTTCTTGTTTTTTGTAATTTTGTCAATATAAAACATAATGTGTTAAAATTATAAAACATATTAAATTTTTAAATTAATACAGCTTAATAAATGTAGGTATACAAGTACAATTCTATAAAAGTATGTGGGTATGTACATTGTATTGTAACATTGTATAGTAGGTAGGTACATTGATATAAAATATTTATTTATTTATTTATTTATTCATTTATTTCAGGCAACTAGGCCCATATTATAAATACCTTATAGACTAACATACATATAATATAATAAAAACCAATACAACTATATTGTCTGTGTGATCACGGCACTGAAGACGGCAATCTGCCACGGTAGCGCCGATACACCACACCTTTCGGCCAGTAGTCCTCTTTCATGAAGGTGGGCAGCAAGTCGGTAGATGTTTTAAAATATTATTTTCACGCAATAAAAAAATAAAATATTTCTCTTTATAAACCAAGTTACAATTAATAAAGAGAAATATTTTATAAACAGGAGCAAAGTTATTTTTATCAAGTTCCATTTTTAAATTGAAATAATAAATTATCGAATTCCATTTTCAAATAATGTCAATTCAACAGGGTGTTTCGATACGAATCATATATTGTAGGTACAGATACTATTTGACAACAAAAAATAGATACAATTGAGCATAGTAAAAATGTTTTTTTTATAAATAACATAATTCTATTTTTGAAAATATCCTTGTGAACGTATCCCTACATCTGCAGCAGACTAGGTAGGCACGTACCGCGCAGGGCACGGTACTCTTAAGATATTTATCCGCGGCTGACGGATACCTGACGTATACATATATCTATAGATATACATACACGTGACAGTTGATAATGGTCGTAGATAAAGCCACGGAAATATCAGATGATTTCTTTTCATTTTATAATAGTGGCAATATATAGTATTATATCATTTTATAAGGTTATAGTAAAAGTACAATTTGATAAACAAAAACAACTTTATAAAAATAACTAATGATTAAAGTAAAAAAAATATGTTTTTATGAGATATGTATTATAATAATGAAGACTTATATTATTAAGAGAAGAATAAAGAGCACGAATACCTTAATTTAAAAATATTTGAAGTAAAAAGTAGCTTCAATAAAGCATTTTTTATATCCTTGTACCTATATAAAGTAATATTCATCACCCTGATCCACTCGTCAACTACTCACAAATTATAGTAATTGAGTATAAAAAACTAAATTATATACAGAAATATAAGAAAACAGGAAAATTCTTAACTGAAAAAATCTAAGAATAACTACTTAGACAAAACTTAAGTCGGCATATTGGTTAAGAAAATACAATATCCTCGTATCATTTATTCAAGATCTAATTAGTGTAATGGAATACGAAAAGCGAGATATTAAGACTAAGTATACTACAGTACCTACTATTATATTATAGTTTATTGCTATAGTATGAAATCAAAAGTTCTCTCGTACCAAATGTTAAGATTATTTATTGTATTAATAATATATAATAATAATGATTTCTTATTAAATTAAATTACGGAAAATATAATATGATTTGTTTATAAATATATTAATTTCATTCAATAGTATTTATATGAATATGCATTTACATACAGTAATATTTATGTTACCTAGTTAAGTCGAATTTTTGTGCGAATTTTTGCACGCGATGCCGGGGTCAGAAGCTTGTATATTGTAATTGTATATTGTATAATGTAATTCCAATATATTATTTGCAAATGACAGCAGTAGCATATTTATTATTATAAATTAAGTTATTGTAAATTGTTAAGCATCTTATTTAAATTATATAAATTAATAAATATTTTATATCTATTTGAAAAATATGATCCATAAACTTACACATTTACATAATAATATACCATAACTTTTGTAAACTGGACAATTTATGCAGCATATAAAAGTACTTCCATTCTTGTACTAAGTTATTTCCGTATGTTAGGTCTCCTTAATACATATTGAAAACGACCTTATTACCTTGGAATATTAAAGTTGAAACTTGCTTGTTGGTTTCAAGATAAGTTACCTTATGATGTATGTAGAGACAATAAACTTGAAAAGTTATGGAGTCGCACCCCGAGGTATCCTGCACGTGTTATATTACTACTAACATAGAATAAAAGAATAATTTATATTCTTTTGATTTTTAAAGAAAAATTAAATTTGTCTTCAGAATACCTATAGTGAAAAATATGTCAGGATTATGTACATATTATCTTGTCTGTGGTTATGTCAATCGGATAGTAAATAAATAATTAAGTATTTTTTCATAGAAACATTTCCCACGTTTAATACTAAACTTTATTATCTGAAAGTTGGAAGTTTTGGAATATCGATTTTAGTCTAGATAGTCTTAGATAGTGGTATTTAATAATGCAGCTTGCAGGTAATGCAGTATATTATTAATAAACATATAAATAAAATTAATTATTAAAACTAAACTGTCTGTTTGTAATTTCAAATTAACAGGTTTTCATGAAATGCATATGAAAATATAAACGATTCTTACATCACAATTTTAATTAAAATAAAGTATCCATCTATTCTTAGAAATGGCGGGATTGATTTTGGCGGGATTTTCACTCTTAAGTTGCTACTGAGAAACATAGGCTACTTTGACTTTAGAGAATTTATTTATTTTTAATAATACCATGTTAAAACCACGCGGACGAAGTCGCGGGTGAATATTAATAATATAACATATAAAAGTAGTATAATAAAAATAAGTAATTCATATCTCAGATGTTTTATGCAAAAACTAATTTAAAATTAATAAATTACTAAATACTTATTCGAAATTTAAATAATTAATAATTCTTCTCTTCTTTTTAGTTTTTAAATTTCGAACGTCATCGTTATACAAATAACTATAAAATACTCACTTATTTAATTGTACATAATGACGTTTTTACTTTGGACTTTAATGAGTAATATAGCTACATATTCCCACAAGCGGCTAAATATATACAAAACTGCAGTGTCTTCCATTTTTCAATTTCTCCTTTAGCAGTCGGTTAAAACCATTACCATTCAACAGTTAAGTAGGTGAAAAGGACAAAATGTCGTCCGTACTAAAACTTCCTTTAGATTAAAAGACCCGTCCTTAATATAAGGTCTAGTAGTAAGGTTCCCTGAAGTTACGATAATAAAATTACGCGTCTACTCGACTAGCTTACTTTGTAGTGGGGACTGTGAGAGTCGTAAACCTTTGACTTATGTTATATACTTATTCATTTTAATCCTAGTATTATAAATGCAAAAATAGGTTTGTTTGTTTATGCATTGTATTTTTTTTATGGATGATGATGGAATGGTGTACTGTCGCCTGCGTTAACTGATTACGCTGTCGGGCCACCAGTGGAGGATGATAAAATGAAGATGAAGACAGGTTAGTTAGCTCATTGTGACCAATTTACCAGGCATAACCCACAATGGTTGCCAAGGGGGAGCGTGTGGGAGTCGATCTGACATTAAAAGCAATGTAGCTACTAATCCGCATTACGAACAATTCTCTTCCACTCCGCAAAGGTATATTGCTGCCATCAAGCAGCTTGCGTTACGTTATCTACCAATAGTGAATAGCAATCAGAGACATTTTTTTTAATTAAAAAAAAATCTCTGACTACCCTATCTTGGATAACAGTCGTGGCGATATGTGATGCATATTTCAAGTAAATTCCAATTTTAAACGATTGAATATTTAAAAATGGAATCGTTAATTTGATTGGATAACGCCTATTCCTACTAGCTACTTAACGAGCTTTGTGGGTCAAATCACGCGATCAACTTACCAACTGTTCTCACTCAAGATTTCATGCAAATATGTCGTCTTAAGCCGTACAATTCTAATTCCGATGTACATTGCTAGCAATGCTCGACATATCAGTGAAGAGTAAGTACAATAACCGCAAGCTATAGTGTACATATCGATAGTGCTATAATACTGATTATTTTCAGTACAAGGCTGTCCTAGTTTCTGTTATTTGCTGTTTTAATAGATTGGAGGTTCCGTAGTTAGTGGAATAAGTGACAAATACAATATGTGAGTGACGAGGGGCTAAATTGCTTCGGCTTGCTTTCTATCTTAAACAGAAAGGGAGATATTAATAACTCTGTCACATACATAATGGCATATGTAGATTTGTATATTTCTGGTATATATTGTCGTTAGAATTTCAATTTGAAATATGTCAATAGAGGTTTACCTTTAACGAGGATCTAAAACGGATCTTCAATACACCCATTACCATAAAATAAACAAGGAAGTTGTGATAACGAACAAAGTAATGGTAGTTTTGTGTGTTGTCTGCGTGGTAGCTACCATCTATTTTTTTATGTAATTGAAATGTTAAACAAAATGACGGTAAGCTGATGGAGATATTCAGTGGATATACAGCCGTAAATATAATTAAATCTTGATTTCATCGCAGTTGTATGTAAGACATAACGATTACTTAGCAACAAGAATACTAATTTTAAATTTTATGTGCTTAATATAAGCAGCTCACCTGCTGGTAAGCGGTAATAGTCGCCTATATAAATGAACAGCACTACGGTTATCACGGTATTATGTAATACT